TAAAATCAACAATAGTGCATGAGCACTCATTACTTTTATAAAATAGAACAATCTTTTTCAATCCATTAAGTTATATTCTTATACTTCATAGTAACTATCAAATTATTTTAATAGATTGAAAATAGTTAAATCCAGTAATTAGGATCAAGCTTGACGTAAATTTTGAAAAATCTTAGTATTGAGGTTGAGAGTTTAGAAAATTTTTTTTACTTCGAGCTTATTTAATCTGTCTAAATAAACCTAAAGAAATTTAGGCTAAGTCTAAACCTGAATGAGCTTAACGCAAATACCAAAATTATTATTTTTTAAGACATAAATTAAAATTCACTAAAAAAGAAAACATAAAATAATATTTTACAATTCGAGTATTCAGGCCAACTCAAATAAACCCAAAAGCCCAAATATTATGATCGCGTTTGGCTATATAATCTTTTTTATGAAGTTAATAGTTACTAGGGACAAATCTCGAAATGAATACATGGGAGAAAAATGAAAATTGCTCAAAATATGGAGGCTGACAATAATTTTACATTTTTTATAAGCAAAATAAAAAATTTCCAAAATTTTTCAAACAACAAACCAAATTTGGTGGGCGTGGAGCACCCCTCCCTCCACATATGTCCTAAGGTATTCATATATTATTGTTAATTTAAAAATATTATAAGCTCCTAAATAAAATATTTGTGGGTATTTTTGTATATTATATTTGCTTTTTTTTTTTAGCAGTCAACATTAACAAATATTAGTTAAATTTAATGATTTGAGCCCTCTTTGCACCCATTTCATCACTATTGTGGGTATTCTTGCACCGTTTCCATTTAAAAACACTATGTGCTTTTAGAGAAAAAGTTTATGGATATTTTTTTCCATTAATCATATATTTAATCCACTTTGAGGATGAAGTGGGTAAGATATGGCTAGGTGTTAAGAGTGAATTAGGTGTTTTAACCATCACAAAATTTCATTTTTACACGGAATAAAATTAATAAATTATTAGATGCTTTGAAAGCTTTCAAGGAAGATGAAAATTTGAAAGTTCCAAAGGATAATAATGCAACCAAAACATTGTTAAATCATAACGCACAAAAGAATATTATTATAATATGGTGCAGGTAATTAATCATAACGTATGCACTGCTGTAATCAAAATACTTATAATCCCTTTACATGTATTTTATGTCAAGGTATTTTATGCATTTGATCTTCATAATTTTGGTGAGTTCATGAAGTTAAAATAATTTTCAAATGTTATTTAAATTATTGACTAAAGTGTTTTTTAGTCCTTTTAACTTTATACACATTTTCAGCTTGGTTACTTAATTTTATAAAGTATATTTTTAACTCTTTAATCATAATATAATTAGTTTCAACTAATTACTTTTTGTGTCAATTATTATTACTTTTTAAAAAATTAAATTTAATATATTAATATTTGAGAATATTTTTGTAAATATTTAAAAATTCAATGCAGGGTGTTTTTTGATGATGAAACTACATGATGTTAGGGTTAAAAAGTTAAAAAAAATACTTTATAAAATTTAAAAATTAAAACAAAGTCTTATGTAAAGTTAAAGAATTAAAAGTGAAATTTATCCTAAATTATTTGAGATGCCACAATCAATATCTTTGTACATAGGCAAAAATATTTCTTTAGCCCTTTATAAACTGTCTTCTCAATAATTTAATCTTAACGTTATTTGTTTTATTAAGAAAAAGATGTTTGACATTAAAATTTTAAATATTAACAAAATATCATCAAATATTAACATATTAAATTTATTCTTTAAAAATAATAATAATGGACACAGAACTTATTATTTAAAACTAATAGTATTAGGATTAAGAGACTAAACTAAATACTTACAAAAAATTAGAAGATCAAATCCACGTTTTTGCATTTGCAGTTCAATATAATAACATTGATGATACAAATATGATAAAAAACAATTAAGGAAAAATATCAATTAAAGATTGCTGAAAAAAATTGATATCAGTCAATGATCATTTACTATTAAAATTCAAATAAATATTTATTAATTTAAATTAATTTTTTATCAACAAATATCCATTTAAGTTTTAATAATAATTTATTTTAAATTAATAATAGATCATTCGAGTTTATTTTTCATTCAAATTTTAACAACAATGAGTCCTTAATTAATATAAATTTCTTTCAATTATTTTTTATTGCTATTTTCTCAATATTTAATGATAGGATAATATATATATATATAGATATTCTTTTTTTGATTAATTTTTTTAATTAGTTATAATGTTAATGTTAATAAAATAACATTTTAGTTTCAAATGCTAGAATATTCTCGAATACATACATTGTGTCTGTCCTATATACAAAATTCGAAGAGTCATGCATTAAACACAACTGAATTATAAGTGATGTTTATCTGTCCTCGGACGAACTGTATAAGTTGAATTTTGCCACGAGTTTGAGGATTTCAATAATGTGATTTGCTGTCAATAATAATGACGACGACGACGATCATGATAATAATAGTGATAATAATATCCCTCATATAAATTATATTCAACTTTAATTTATGTTGCTAATGTCCCGTTTGCTGGGTTGAGTTGATGGAACCAGATAGTTTGATTTTATTTATTTTTTAAATAAAATTTTTGAGTTTAAATAACATTTCTGTGCCTGCAATAAAAAATCCTCGTGTATATATAGTTAAAATAAATGTTGATAAAGCTTTGCACTCACGTAATTAGATCTAATTCGATTTGTATTAGTTAAGACCCTATGTAACTTTTTGAGAAGCAGTTTCTAATCTCTATAATATCATATAGTTGAATTTTAATATAGTAATTATAAAATATTATTCTTTGCAATATATCATTAATATCATCAATTTAATTTGTATATTAATAATTCTTTCATCCATAATTGAGTTTTCTGTGCTCTTCAATTCTTAAATTAAAGACTGAATAAAAAATTTTCATTACTATAAATAAATGTAATGTTCTTGCCAGAAAAATGAGCATAGAACTTAATTCGCCTTTAATATAAAAATTTTCCTGAGAAATTCCTTTTGTTTCGTGGAATCCTAGATATTTTCCTGATATTGATATTGATTATAAAGAAAATTCAACATAATCAAATTAGGGGGGAAAAACTATGTCAAAAAGCCCGTCTAGGGGGGAAAAACTATGTCAAAAAGCCCGCCTATTTAGGTTTATAATACTCTAATTTAGATTTTAATCAATAATAACACGAGCTATTAGATAGAACAGGTCATTAGGTCATATAAAAAAATCTGGAAAAATCATAAAAAAAGTCTTGAGAACATTTTTTGTTAATTTTTTATTTATAATAAACTTAAAAATATAGGATTGCATTTTTTTATATGGGAATCTGGCAATTATGAAGAGAAATCATTATAATTTTAATATAAAAAATAATCATTTAATCACTGTATTTTAACTTAATCTCATAAAAAATCAAAATTCAAATTTCGTTAGTAAGAGGGTTCATAAGTTTGGTTTAGTTTAAAAAAAATAAAACAGAATTAAACTAGTTGACTAAAACTTGGGATGTATTTGATTTTTTTCTCTGATCGATTTGGTTAGTTTAATTTAGGTTTGGTTTAAGTTTGAATTTTTTTAAAGATATTTTATATAGTCAATATATGTACATATTCATTACTAATTTTTAACCGTTATTAATTACTATTCAAAAAGAAATTCTTGGGGACAAAAAAATAGTTTTTGACAATTGATTAGAACATTTAACTATTAAAATTAATAGTTTTTGTTTGTTTTTGTTTGTTTCCTTTACATAAAAACTATTAAAATTAATATATTATCTTCAAAATATTTGACTGCAAATTTAAAAAATTATCAAAAAAATTGTAGACAACATTTATTTAATTATAATAGTTTTTTATTAGTGATTTATAAATAACTAAACTCAAGAAATTTTTTTTATAGAAATGTATAAAAATATATAAATTATATTTTGATAATTATAAATCCTTGCACATTACTTGCATTTTGTTATAGATTTTTGTACTTTTTTTTAATGTTCTAGGTCCCTATAGTTTTAGTTTTTAATGTTTTGGGTCCCTTCAAGTTTTGTACACTTTGTTAATTTAGGGACTGATAATACTAAAAAATAAAAGTATAAGATCTTAAAATACTAAAAAAAATACAAGGATATATAATAAAATGCTAGCAAAATATAAAAATTTAAAATTATGTTTTTTTTCAATTGATTTGGTTTAGCTGAAGTTCTTAAGAGACAAAACTTTGAATTAAACTATACAAATTGGTATTGTATGAAAAGAAAAAACAAACAAAACTTTATTTATGATAAGTTTTGATTGGCCCATGTTGAATGAATTCGATTTAATTTGATGTAATTGGTTTGTATCACTCTTACGTGCTATGAAAAATGCTTGTATTTAATATTTAATTATGCCTAGAATATAATTGCTTCTAATAAAAAAAATATTTACGAGCAATAAAAAATGTTAATCTTTGATTTTTTTTCATTTAAAATATCGGTAAATTAACATTTAAGAGATAATTTCTTGAAGATTTGAATATTGTTTTATCATTACAAGGGACTAGTTTTTTTTCTCACTAAACTATACCATGTTAATTTTAAAAAACATAGTTAGTACTTAAAATTAACTTAAAAAATATAGTAACTAATATTTAATATGATAAAACTAAAAAAATTTAGTTAAAGTGAATTAAATCTAAGTGAGTTTTAGCTAACTAAAAATTGTATCATCTTTTTATAAGTATAAGGAGTAAATTTTGTCGACGAGAGGGAATACCCCGCTTGGAGTATTGAGAGCAATTCAAGTAAATTCCTATTAACTAAATTGCCACATACTGATTTTCTTTCTTTTATTAATTAATTAATTTATTTATCAATGGTTTTCTGAGACGGCTGTCCCCCTTGTACAGTAGCTTTCGCAGCTGCCTCACTGTGCGTTTGCTCTATATAACCCTGCCTCCTCTGTTACTTCTTGTTTTGCCCTCCTCCTTGAGACCATCCTTCAGTACAGAGATGCTTCTTGGATGATGCAATATGAGAAGACCGCTCAGACATTCATCCAAACACTCCGATAAACATGGTTTCTTCGACGGCTTACCTGACGACCTCGTCCTCTTCATTCTCTCCAAGCTCAGCTCCACCGCTCCTTCTCCTTCCCATTTTATTACTGTCCTGTTAACGTAAATCTCACCCCACCAACATTCATCAAAGTTCTAACCTTTTTTTTTTTTTTTTTTGTTTTCATGCCTGATAGAATGGAGTTTCGTGCCTTTTTTCAGATGCAAAAGACTGAATCAGTTGGCTTTGAATCGTCTAGTATTATCCAGAGCAGGGGAAAAAATATTTGCAGTGAAAGCTAAAAGCTGGTCAGAATATGCCCACCGGTTTCTCCGGCGATGTGTCAGCGCCGGCAACGTCCATGCTTCCTACACTCTCGGAATGGTCAGTGATTAACCATATCCTTCAGGAGAAAGAGGAGTAAGAAAGTCGCTAAATGGTTTCTTGTAATTTGTTTGTCGCAGATCCAGTTTTACTGTTTAGAAAATCGAGAGAGTGGGTTTAAACTTATTGCTCAAGCGGCTTCGAGATCTCACGCGCCGGCGTTATACTCACTCGCCGTCATACAGTTCAACGGAAGCGGTGGATCCAAAAGCGACAAGGATCTAAAAGCCGGCGTGAATCTGTGCGCCCAAGCATCTCTCCTTGGCCATATCGACGCCCTTCGCGAACTAGGCCATTGTCTTCAAGACGGCTATGGCACCACCCAGAACATTGCAGAGGGACGGCGCTTGCTCATCCAAGCGAACGCGCGTGAACTCGCTCGCGTGTTACGCTCCGTCTCCATCAAATCATTTCCCTCCCGGCTCCGCTCCTCCCTGATGATGTGGCGCGTCCACAGGCGGCTTGGAAACGACGCATGCCGAATTGAATGGATTTGTCCGTTGCTCAGCGATTACGGCTATAGCGTGGCGGTGCCGGAGGTGCATCCGGCTAACAGATTCCTGAGGGATTGGTACGAGACAGGTCGTGGTGTGTTAGGGGAGGAGCTGAGACTGTGCGCACACATTGGGTGTGGCCGGCCGGAGACGCGGCCACACGAGTTCCGGCGATGCTCTGTTTGCGGGAAGGTCAACTATTGCTCGCGCGGGTGTCAAGCGCTTGATTGGAAGTTAAGACATAAGACGGAATGCTCGCCGGTTGAAGGGTGGGTGGTGGTGAACGTCGATGTCGGTGGCGGCGGCGCCGATATAGGAGGAAATGTTAATGGTGGTGACGACGTGGTAAATGACGTGGTCGCTCAGAACGTGGCAGCTGGATGAAGTGGATTTTGGCTCTTGTTTTTTTTTAATCAATTTATTATTCTGTTTTTTCAGTGTACAGATAGGTGAAGCAACTATTTCTTCTGGTAGCACCTGGGGTGGGAAGATTCTTTCTTCTAAACTCAGTCATTCCTTTTTTTTTTTTATCTTTTTCAAAAATGTATACTCATAATCATATACTTACTTAAGGTAAGATGTTGGTAAATTTTATTTAAGAAAACGTAATTTTTTATCTTTATATTTTACTCATATTTTGTCATAAATTTTTTAATTTTTTTTAATATTCTAAATTTTTACATTTTTATTATTACATGTTTTAGATTTTTTTAAAGTTTTTATATTTTATTCGTTAAAAATTTAAAATATTAAAAAATAAAGGTATGAAAATTTAAAATATTAAAAAAAGATATAAAGATTTTTAACAAAATACGAGTATGGGTTTAAAAATTGTATTTTCTCTTTTTTTGTGATAATTATATTTTATTAATTTCAAGGCAACAAAAGCGAGAAAGGTAACATCAGGTGTGGGAAAGCCTTTGAATGAATGTATGTAGTAGGGCTTTGCAAAAGTCTTTCAGTTTTGTCTGGTTCAATTCAATCCGAGATGGTCTTAGTCTTGTTCGGTCTGTATAGTCACTGGTTCTTCAGGGTCAAAAAGACTAAAACGATCAAACTATTTTTTCGGGTTGGACTGGATAAAAGACCAGGCATCCGGATCACTTGGTCCAGTCCAGTCCTATTAATTTTTTTATTATAATTATAATTAATTTATTTTTGACAAATGTTTAAAGTGTAATTGATTCTAAGGAGATGATTATATAAAGATTTATTAAGTTTGTTTCTAAATTGTTATTGTAATATAATGTTGTTGAATTTTGTTGAGTATTGTTTTTGTTAAAGTTATAAATTTAAATAATTTAGACTATAACAGAAATATTTTTTTCTTATTGTTAGAAATTATTATGGATTTATTCTTATTATAAGTGTTTTTACTATCTTAATTGAGTTTATTATGTTGAAATGGATTATTTCCTCTCATAGAATAAAAAAAAGAAAAAAAAGCTAAGTGAATACTGGACTGATAGGATCAGTCTCCCAGTCCTATGGACTAAGTCCGGTCCTGTTAATTTTCAGGTTATCACTGGACAAGACTGGACTACGGATTGCCTAACCCAGTCTTTTTCATAAAAGAGACCGGACTTTGAGTTAGAGTGAAATCCAATGCCGTCCTATCTTTTATGCAGCTCTAGTATGTAGGGTATGACCTTTTCGTAGCCATTTCTATTTGTTGGGGAACGCACTTTGAGATTCATGCATCAATATTAAGGAAATTGATTCACCCACCTGGTTTTGGTAAATCCTTTAAATGGGAATAATGTTCAAAGAGATGATGAATTCTCAATAAAATAAAATAAAATAAAATAAAATAATAAGTTAAGAGTTATTTTTATTCTCAAATATGAATTATTTAAAATCAATTCAAACTATTTAAAGTAAGTTTATGTGTGTCCTAAATTTAATTTATTTTTTCCATAAACTATTTGATAACGCATCTATTAACTAATTTGCTTTTGAACAATATACATGTGACACTCCACATGTTATTCATGTTAGATGCCCCTTAATTAAGGGTTATTTTTATTTTCAAACAATTCATTTATTGAACTCAATTTTGAATTATTTTTTTCTTATTTGTTGAAAACCAAATCATGCGTGTCTTGCCATTAACTTATCATAGATGGACGTTAATTTAAATTAGTGAGCCTCACATCCAAGTAGGTTGTTGGTTAGAAATTAAAAGAAAAAATCTCCTCTCAAATGATTTTCAAAAATAAAATTATAAATTTTTTTCATGTGTTCACTTGACAACTGGACTCAGAATTTTAAAAAATTCCTCCACATGTACAAGCCTAACTCAGATTTAAAAAAAAAAAAAAACCTCAATGTCTACATTTGACAAGCACTTGCCCACGATTGTGATAATTTAGATTTAAAATTGTGTTACAAGAGAGGGCAAGTGGTTGTCTATATTTGAGTTGGGTTTTTTAGATTAAGGCGACGCAAAAAAAGCAAATTGTTGAGATTGAGAGATAAAATAATTGTTTTTTTTTTAATTTAGGCTGCCAAATGTACACATGGATTAATTTTTTAAATTTAATTTATGATTGTGATATGATAGAGGATTTTAATTTTAATTTCTAAAAGATCATCCACTTCGATGTACACTCGTGTGGATCACTTATTTAAATTAACAGCATTAACGACAAGGCACACACAATTGGGTTTTTTAACATTTAAAGGAGAAAATGACACAAAATTGAATTCATAACATTAAGTGTCCTTTAGAAAATATTTTAAAAATAAAAATAATCTTATTAATGTCTTATTAGGCATCCATTAGGATGCCATGTGTACATTTTTTATATAAAAATGGTTAACAAATGGGTAATAGGTAGGGCAATAATGAATGACTTTTTAAACATTTATTGTGAAAATAATTTAAAATTGAGTTCAAGACACCCACAAAACCAGACTTTAATAATTTGATAGTAAAAATAATCTTTAATCTTAAAATAATTGTCCTCATCCAATTATTGATTTTTAATGTCTCGTATGTATGTATGTATTTCTTTCATTTAAAAATATAAAGTATTTTTTAAGGAGTTAGATGTTCAAAAATATAATACATTTTTAATCTTTTGAGGTATAATTATTGCCTTTTTAAAAAAAAATATCCATATTGATAATGACTTTATATTTATTATAGGGTGTTTAACAAGGATAAATATAAAAAGATGGGGTTAGTTGAAAAGTAGGTAATTATTTTATTAGAGGGTAATATTTGATTAAAAATGTCTTATATTTTTAAATGAAGGGAGTATGTGTTATGCAATTTTATTAATTTCTAACTGGGTATTTATTGGGATGATACATTTACATGTTTAAAAAAAAATATTGGTTAATGGGCGTAACGATATGGCAAAAAGAAACAGGTTTTTAAACGATTAGTGGGGAGGTGACCTAAAATTGATTTTATGATCATCACAAATCTGGCATGAATAATTCCAAAAAAAAAAAAAGGCCGTTAACCCTAAAATAATTGTCCTTGCCCAATTATTAGTTTTTATCTCTCTCCCTCCCTCTCACACGCGTTAGGCAAATTTTTTAGTTTAAACTTTAAAGCCCTCCTGCTCATTCCATCTAAAATTATATTCTTTTTGTTGTAAATTATAAAATAACTTGAGATAATATTACACATATAAATAAAGATTAATAATAATATTAAGAAAATTTAATTTTTTTAAAAAATATAAATTTTTAAAAATGTTCTTTATTTAATATAACTTTAAATACGCGCATAATAATTATACTATAATCATTTCAATTATCTACTGCTTAAAGGATAATATTAAAAAATTATCATTAATAAAATTTTATTTTTTGTCAATTTTTTTTGTATTTTTTGAAGAACGAAACACCTCTTTAATTAACTCCATTAAAAATGCACATTTTTCTTTATTTATTTTTTATTTAATATGGTGCCTTAAGATATACTTAATTTTATATAATTAATATATTTAAATTTATTTAAATTAAAATGAGTAAATTTTAAAGTGATATTGATAATATTGATAATATGAGTTTGTTATTACACAATGAATAATATATATATTGATTTGATTGGACACGACCATTTCAAGTATATAATATTAAGTATAATAGAAATATTCATATACTTAATCTTATATTATATATTTTTGTTCAATTATATCAAAGAAGTATACTAGTATTTTTTAAGAATGGAAATATTTATATACTTAATCTTACATTACTCAATATACTTTGTTCAATCAAATCAGAATAAGTAAATGTTAAAGTGTTGAAATGTTAATAATAAAAAGTTGTTATAGAATAAATAATGCATTAAAAATTTACATATTTTGATTTGATTGTACACAACCACCTTCATTATATAAAATTAAGTATACAAAATGAGAAAGGGAATATTTATATTTTTAGCCTTGTATACTTAATAGATTAGTGTCCAATATAAAAAAATTACTTTAACAGATTGTTTAACTCTATACTATTTCATCCAATTCTATTTTTTCCATTAAAAAGGGAAAATTTTTGGAAAATGACTGCTCTTAGGTTTTATTACAAATCCAGGCTAATGAAATATAAAATTATATTGCAGGATTAGTGGATGAATTGAATTTTTGTTTTTAATGAAAAATAATCAAAATGTACATTGTTTATTAAAACAATAACCAATCACCAAAGGTTAAATATTTTAAGAAAATTCAAAAAATTTTAAACTTATGATCTCTTAATTTATGAAAGGTTTAGGGTGTGTTTAGATGGAGGGGAGGGGAGGGGAGGCCCCCCTCCCAAATTGGGGGAGCACCCCTCCCCTTCCTCCTCTCCCTCCCTCCCCTCCTCTCCCCCCATCTCCCCTTTTTTTGAACCAAACAAACCCTTAATAATTACCAAGCCAATAATATCTTTTGATTATAAAATTTAAAATTTTATATATAACATAATCATATCCATATTAATTCATGTGTTAACATGCTATTTCATCAATGCTTACTTATTAATTTAATAGCATATACTTGTTAATTCCTTATCTTGTTATTTCAATAACACTACCAGCACTAAATGATCCAGATAACATAGGCACTACGTGCTTTCTTCTTTCTTTCTTCCTTCCTTCTTCTTTTTTTGTAATAGAGAGAAAAATTATATCAATACCTAATAATCAAAACACAAAAAACACAAAAAATAGCTTCACCTAAGACATTTTTCATCAACAACAATAAAGGGATACCATAATTTATTTTTTTAAGGAAGCATGAAATTTTATAATTTGCATGACCCATTCAAATTGCATACTTCCCCCTTTCAGAAGTATTATAAAACACTGACCTGTCAAATTGCATGCTCCATTCGTTTGAGCTGATTAATTATATTTTAAAGTCTCGATTAGAAAATTTGAGCACAATTTTTTTAAAAAGAAAAAAAAAAGCGAGGAAGTTAGAAAATGGGCTCAAGGCCATGATTTATGAGTGAGTGGGTTGAATAGCCCATTGAGGATAGTCACGATTTTTCAAATGGAAATGTCACGGAACTCGATGTCGCACACGCCGGTCTGCCCTTTCATCGCAGAATGTGACGCACCGTCTTTTTTCATGCTATACGTTATTTGTATACCCACTTCAACGCCATATACGCGGCCTTCAATATTAATACGCTTGCTTGCATTTTGACGGAAGTGGCACTAGAAAACAACTGTGTTTCTGACCCATCAAATAAGCAATCCCTTGACTTTCATTGTTATTCGTTTCCATTTTCTTGTGGTTTCAAGGATACCAAACAAGGCATGACTTCATGTTGTTTTATTTTATGACTTTGTTGAATGATTTTATTATGCTCTTCTCGCAGTATGTTCTTTTTCTCAGCTTGATGGGCATGAAGAAGACTGCCACTAATTAGATTCAAAAATGGTGTCATTCATTTGACCCCGTGAATTAGAATTGTGAATAATGAAGAATGCCCATAATTGAGATACAAGACCTCAAGAAGGCTTGCCTAATTTCGATCCAAGACGATAAGGAACGCAAACATAATTGACCAACCATGTTTTCGGAAGAAATGATGATTCCAAATTGAAAGTTAATTATTCTAAGATTAGCAATAGGAAATGAAGATGTTTGTGATATGAACAATAAATACCAGGCATGTCAGAGACGTTGAGTCTCAATTGATAACAAAAAAGTCTCGAACTCTCTTATCATAGTTTACTTGAATGTAAAAGATATACAAGACTTTGGTCGAATAAGTGTTTTAATTTTTATTGAAATATGAAAGGTTATAAGTTTATATTGAAAGTAAAAGCTAATTGATAAAACTAAAGGCTAAAGGTGCAAAATGCAAGTTTTTGATTGAGTGTTGATTGTCTTTCTTCTATGTCTTTGTTTTCTATTTATGGTGTCAGAGTGGTAGTAACCTCTCCCGCAAGAACTAGAATATTTTACCGAAAAATCAGGGATCTTGTGAAACTCATGGCATGTCTTCATTCTATATTCTCCATTTTGGTAATCAGTTCGTCTCACCAAGATATTTAAGCATGATGTCCATAAATTGCATAATCACTCGAGATCATGTCTTTATGTGCCAACGGTCCAATGTTTGTAACTGGCAAAATTTTAGCATGTTTATTCCATCGTGGCCTTCTATTAAGCTTGGGCCCGACCCTTTTATTCAAATTAGGCCTAACTTTTTAGTTACTAAGCCCGAATAGTCTTATGACTTATTTGAGCGACATTTCATATTTTATCCAAAACATTACCCTCGTGTGCTAGTGGCTGATAATGTAAGCCATATGGCATGTTTGAAAAAACTAAAATGTCACTTTATCTCTGAGCGCCCTTTGTTAATATAAACTTATTGCTTTTTCTGGTCACTTCTCTTTCCCTTTTTGTTGTTTCTTGACATTCAAGCTTTTGCATCCCTTGTTCTAATCCTCCCTTTGCTCATAAATAGCTTCCTTCACTGCTGTTGCTGCCGCCTCTACTATTGCTCCGTCTTTCACATCTACCAAAAGTTTGTCTAATTCTCTGGCCACCATTTGAAATCCTATTGCCTCACTCGAAAGATAGACGACGATACGTATTTGATTGCTAAAAACCCTTATCTCTCTTGTATTAGGTCCTCATTCTGATATTTCTTTATTTTTGCTGCTCTTCTTTACATTCTGCTGGTTGTCAATGTCCATGGTTTCTCCCAAGTGGTTCCAAACCACCTTAGAGTTGTTCAGGCTCTTTACGCTTTGCCCTTTCTGGCTAATATCCCATCTAGAAGACCTATTCCTATTAGATCAGCCTGTAGGTTTCTCCAAGCAATCTTACACTGTTCTTGAACTTTCTTGAGCTACTTCCTCCCTGTTCTAGACATTCCAAGGCCTCCCATCTCTCCGCTTATCATCATTTCTCCTGTTCTGTTATCTGTTAGAGTTTATCTCCACTATGTTGTCTATGGCAAATGGTAAAAACAAGTCCTCGTCTACAAATATGTGTTCCTCCTTAGGGAACTTAAGAATTCCCTTATTGATCTAGTCCTGGATGACATTCTTAACGCCCTAACAAGCCTAGGTGTTGTGACTCAATGAGTGATGGTACTTACAGTATTCCTTTCCTCTTTGCACTACTTTTGAAGGAATATTGTGATCAGCTGACAGTGAGATGAAGTTTTCTTTGAGAAGGAAATCGAAGATCTCCTCTGTTTTGGTAGTGTCAAAGGTGTACTGTATAACGTTCGTCCTTTTAGGAATTTTTTTGACCTTTCTTATCAAGGCTGGGCATGTGTAGTTGCCAGTATTTTTTAGTTCTGCCATTGTAATGTCAAGGTCACCGACGTAGGTTCCTGCCGTAGTCTGCCAATAATGATCCTCTTCTTTGAGCAGCTCCTTATATCCCCATACTTTGGCCTTGAGCTCATAGAAATCACAAAATTCCATCCTCTGAAATTTCTTTCAAAGCTCTATATCAAATCCTGCTTATGCCAACTTGATAAATTCAGTTTCTGAAAGCAGCACATGGCATCTGCTCCTCAGTCGTTTGAACCTCACTAAGTATTGGTCCACCGTCTCTCTAGCTTGTTAGGTAAGCTTGCAGAATTCAGCTATACTGACCTCCAATTCTACCTTGTAGAACTGAACATGAAACTTTTGCTCCATTTCCATCCAGCTAATGATTGAGTTACGAGGTAGTGAAATGTACCATGTGAACATTGGGCCTGTGAGAGTGTTTTGGAACAATCTCAGTTTTAAGTTGGTGAAGTTCTCATAATTGGTAATCTCCCCATATTGGATTGTGAACCTCCTAATGTGCTCCAAGGTGGATTGCATTCCATCTCCTAAGGATAGTGTGAAGTTAAGGATCCTATATCCCCAAAGATATGGGTTATCTCTATTTATGTACTCCGGATATGGCTTTGAGAAAGTAAGGTGGCCAATTGGCCTCATCCCTAGCCTATATATATCCTAGATAGCATCTCTTAGGGCCTCCATGTTCACCAGTCAATTAAGAAGCTCATTTTGACTCTCCGGGACTATCACCATGCCTCCTGGTCCCCTTATGCCGGGCTCCTATAAATAATACAAAGAATTAGTTAGAGGATTAGTGTTAGTAAAAATCTAAGGGTTAGAGATGTCCTTTACAAGTGGGTGGCCCTGAAGGCCAACACCTACATTGATTCCTACTTGTTGCCCTCCATACGGCTCTAAATTTGAGCTTGCTTTTAGAGGAGTGCTTTTCAATGATGTAGCTATGTTCTTCATGCCATCATGCAGAGCTTACATCATTATCTATTGTCATTCTTTCTCCCTACGTTTTGATGCTTCTAAGGATAGTACAAAGAACCTTTGGTTCTCTTCTAGCTTTGGTCTTGAATTTTTCACAGCACTTCTGCCGTAGAATAGTTGGATATGATCAGTGGGTTAGCTTGTCTATTTCCTAGCTTTGAGTCAGGGCTTGTGCTGTTGCTACTTGTCGACATCGACACTATGTGCTCACAATGTTTAGCTGCTTTAACATCAAGCGTTAAGTGTTTTGACCCTGTGTGTGCAGAGGTCGCTTCTAGTTCGTGAGAACCAGCACCTGTTTCATCAGTCCTTTTGTCATTTCTCGTCCTTGCTATCTTTGTTACACAGGTCCCATTAGGAGTGCCAAAAATTGTTCGTGGTGTGAACAACAAATACCAAGCGTGCCAGAAACACTGAGTCTCAATTGATAATAAAGGAGTCTAGAGCTCTCTTACCACAATTCACTCGGATGTAAAAGATACATAAGACTTTAGTAAAATACGTGTTTTAATTTTTATTAAAATGTGAAAGGTTACAAGTCTAGATTAAAAGTAAAAACTAACTGATAAACTAAAGGCTAAAGGTGCAAAATGCAAGTCTTTGATTGAATGTTGATTATCTTTCTTCTGTGTCTTCTTCTTCTATTTATAGTGTTAGAGTGGTGGTAGCCTCTTCCTCAAGACCTAGAACATTTTGCTGAAGAATTAGGGATCTCATGTCATGGTCTTCATTCCGTGTTCTTCATTTTTGGTAATCAACTCGTCTTATCGAGATACTTGGGCACGATATCCGTGGATTTCAGAATCACTTAGGATTGTGTCTTTATGTGCCAACGATCCAATGTTTGTAATTGGTGAGATTTTATCATGTTTATTCCATCATGACCTTCTATTGAGCTTGAGGTTGACCCTTTTGTTCAAATTGGACCTGACTCTTCAATTATTTAGCTCAAATAAACTTATGATCTATTTGATCGACATTTCATATTTTAGTCTAAATAGAAGACACTACATTATACATGTTCTCTTATTAAATCAAACCCAACCCAAGGATTGTGTAAGATTGCAGTGCCAACTCAACATTCAGCTAACTCACGTAGACTCAATTAATTCTTTTTTTATTACCTAAAATACTCATAAAAATATATCAAAGTTATTACTTCCTCATGTTAGAAACAAATAATTATTGATTCACAATATTAAAGATGGCCAAAGTTGAAAAATTGTGATATGGGCTACTTAATTGTTTCCATTAGTGGGTATATATATATGAAGTAAAAACTTCTTATATTTAAAACATAGATAATTTATTATTTTCATGGTTGAAAATTAGATGATTTAGATTTTAAAGACTTATTAAAATCAAGATCATGCTTCAACATATAAAGAACGCTTACATAAATATTTATAAATGATTCATTGATAATATTAATATCCTTCTCCCTTAAATCATAAGATTCGAACTCATGTTTTCATATCCTTGTTAATTAGATAAATCTTTATTACATATGTTTTATTTATTATGTTCTTCACCAAGAAATAATACAAAGATCTTAATAAAAGCACAGAGGTAATTTTCAATTTTGTAAAGTAAACCTAATGGCCTGGCATAATTTGATTTGAGTTTATTAGGTATTGCCGTATTGGTGAACAACTCAATGAACCACGACTTAAGCATGGGCTAAATACTTACTGCGCCTGATAAGCTTGATTACATAACTGCCTCTATTTTTTTCAATTTTAATGAATATTAATGGACTTGGTTTTTCTTTCTTGAATTTCTTTTGTTGTTAAAAACCACCCTAAATTGTCATTTTCTCTCTCACAGAATAAGAGGCTACGGTGCCCTCAACGCAAGATAGCTTATCCGACGACCGACGCTCTCCACCGTTAATCTCATCTCTCCCCATCAAACCCCTCCGTCATCTTCACTCCACTCTCTCTCTCTCTCTCTGTGCGCTCGGAAGTCAGAATCAATGGCGTCTCTACGCCATACTCCAACCTCAATCCAATCCAATCACTCTCCACTCTCCGGAAACTTCGCCTCCCCTAGACCCCCCTTCAACCTCTCATTCTCCGCCTCTACCTTCCCGTCTTCTCTCCAACTCAATTTCGCCGCCACCACTGGCCGCCGCTCCCATGGCGGCGCTCTCGGTGCCAAGATGACTTCCAGCGCCGCCGCCAGCTACGCCCTCGCGCTCGCCGACGTCGCCAAGGCCAATAACACCCTCGACTCTACGACCGCCGATATCGAGAAAATCGAGGAAATCTTTGCCGACCCTGGTGTTTTCTCCTATTTCAACAACCCTACCATAGAGACCGAGAAGAAGAAAAAGGTCGTGGAGGAAATCGCCATTTCCTCCAGCTTGCAGCCTCATACTCGAAATTTCCTCAACATTTTGGTGGATGCAAAGAGGATCGATCTGATCAAGGATATCGCGAAGGAGTATGAGTTCGTGTATAACGATTTGACGGACACGAAGCTTGCGATCGTGAGCTCGGTGGTGAAGCTGGAATCACAGCACCTGGCGCAGATAGCGAAGCAGGTGCAGAAGCTGACCGGTGCGAAAAATGTGAGAATCAAGACCTTGATTGATCCAAGTTTGGTGGCTGGATTCACGATCAGGTATGGGAATTCGGGATCTAAGTTGATTGATATGAGTGTGAAGAAGCAACTTGAAGAAATTGCTGCTCAGCTCGATTTGGGCGATATCACACTCAGTTCATGAACCTTCTTGGTGGAAAAAGTTCCATCGTCAATTTTAGTTGCTTTGATGAACTGTCAAGCGTGTACAAGATTCTTGCGGTAGCATATATATACACATATGATTTTAATTTTGGTAAATTTGGAATTGGAATTGGATTGTGGTGAGACTGAGAGCAAGTTTTGTGTTGAGTTTTGATTCTCGACACAGATTCTTCTGCAAAATTCTTCAGAAGGGAGCAGAAAAAAGGTATTATTCTCAATTCCTCGCTCTTTCGAGGTTTTGGGATTAGTAATCTCTGTTTTTGTTTACCATTATTGCGGGTTAACCTTGTGACGATTGATTTGGGTGAAATTGACCCGAAACTTGAAGGGGAGAAACGTAGAAAACACTTCAAAATTGCTGATATGCTTTGTTTACTACTATTTGCTTCTGCTGTTCGAAATCTGCTCTGAGGGTATGTCGCCTGCGAATTCTAATCCGTATATGGCATAAACGTAAAACCGGGAAAAAGAGGTCCACGTTACACCCATGTAGGCCTTTTTATATTTTACATTGATGGTGACGATGATGATGATAAATATTGATTTAAAATATAAAATTGATTGATATCAAATCATATTACTCTAATTCGCCGTAAGATTTTATAGAAAACTAGTATAATTATCTCTGATAATTAATATCATTAATATAAAATATTAAATCTATAATAACTTATGTTACTTATAAGCCATCATAAGTCATTAATAAAAAAATTTTCTTAAGATCAACCACGGTGGCGGATTGTTTTGTTTTGTTTTTATTTTTAAATCAAGGGCATCTAACAAATTGAATCTCAAGGTACAATTGAAAACCTAAGGTTTTTAATGCATTTTCAGATTGTTTCAAGCCTTTCATTTTGTTATGTTATCTAAATAGCAAGGTAAACTGGGTTGGGCTTCAAATTGATCAATAAGAAAAGAAAAATATAAAATTCAACTTGATCAACCCATCCAAAAGTGTCAATCGAACTAGCTAGGAGATTGGTTCCCTAGTCCGGCCAGCCAACTTGGTTTAGGTTCTGCTGTTTTTTTGGCCCAAGTGCAAGCATATTATTCAATACTTTGACAAAGGTGAGAAACAAAGTTCAACAGAGACAAACCAAAAAAAAAAAAAAAACATGTGAGACAAACAAAACAATCAAACAACAACAACAAACCTTTATCTCACTAGGTGCAGTCGCCTATAGAAATTGCAAGATGTCATTATACTCTATCATTTATTAAGTTTTTAGGAATATTATTAATTAAGAAATCGCGTTCAACAACTTTTAAAAGTGTTCTCTTAGGCCTTCCTCTATCCCTCTTAACAAGGCTTAAAGTTATATGTTTCACTCTTCTCACTGGTGCCTCCCGCAGTCTTCTTTGTACATGCACAAACTATCTCAAATGATTTTCTACCATTTTTTCCTCATTAGGTGCTACCCTCACTTTTTCGCGTACATGCTCATTTTAAATTTTATCTTTATGTGTATATCTGCATATCCATCATAACATTCTCATTTCTGCTACTCCAACTTTATGCTCTTGCTGTCCCGTTAGAGCCCAACATTTACTACTATATAATATAACCAATTTGATAGCAGTACGATAAAACTTTCCTTTAAGTTTATTAGGCACCTTACAGCCACAAATAACTCCTTTAGCTTTTTTTTCAATTAAATCACCCAGCTTAAATCCTATGTGAAATATCCCCACCGATTTCGCCATCATTTTGAATAATGGCTTCTAAATATCTAAACTTTTTCACTTGAGGTATAATTTGATATTTCAATTTCACTTTTAAATTACTGTCAACTAGTCTCTTATCAAATTTACAATATAAATATTTCGTCTTACTCTTACTTAGACGGAAACCTTTCGACTCCAATGTCCTTCTCCATAATTCAAGTTTACAATTAATTTCTTGTCTCTATTATAAGAATTATATCATCCACGAAGAGCATAAATTTGGAAATTTCTCCTTCAATATATTCCGTCAAAACATTTAGGATTGAGTTAGACAGATAAGGACTCAAAGATGATCCTTGATGTAGTCCAATCTTTATAGAAAAGTCTTTTGTTTGATCACTATATGTTCTTATATTAGTTTTTATCCTCTCATACATATCTTGCATGACTTTAAAATAAGTAATCCGTACTCCTTTCTTTTTCAAGGCTTTTCAAAGCACTTTCTTGGTATACAGTCATAAGTTTTTTCCAAATTAATAAAAACCATATGTAAATCTTTATCTTTATAATAATACTTTTTCATTAATCCCCTAAGTAGATAAATCATCTCAGTAGTTGATCTACCTGTCATAAAACTAAACTAATTTTCAAAAATACTTGTCTCCAATCTCAATAGAGACAAACAAAACAAAGGAAATGAATAAAGAAAAATTAGCTAGCGTGACTTGTAACATCACAAATTTTAATTTCAAAATTAATTAATTAATTAAGGTTAATTAAGTAAAATTTGAATATCAATTAGTTTGATGATGGTCGTCAACGGGTCTATTGAATGTGACAGTAGCCATTGGATCGGGTTCAGATGGGTAATGGGTCGCTAGGGCCCACATGGAGCAACAAATTTGGAATGGGCCATTCTCTGCCATCAAAGCTAGCAAAACGGGTTAAGCTTGTTCAAGCCCTAAAATAACTAGGGTGAGGTCACTTTATTAGAGGGTAAAAATGAATTTTGAGTTTAAAAAGGTTGGCTTAAAAGGGCTTGATTATTTTTTTTAAAACAAAATTTAGGTAACAAATACAAAATAAATAAAAAAATCAAGTGCTTCTCATTCTTCTGGTATCTTATCCACAACAACAATCAATTTTGATGATAGATTTGATGTGTGTTTTAAATACTTTGTCAATTAAGTTTGTTATTTTTATTCTTACTTTACTTTATTAGTATTTAATTGATATTTCTTTAATCATTTACAAACTATTATGCTAGATTGTCAATATATTTATATAAGTATACATGATTTTTTTTATGGACAAGTTTCAACTAGAGAATTATTTGGGTGAACCAATACTAAGGGTGTGTTTGAATTAAAAAATATACAATTGAGGTCAGAATCAACTGAGGTTAAGATAAAAGTGTGTGACTATAATATGATTTATACTTGGATACTTCTTTTTTAAAAGTCAGTTGAACAAGTTAAAATTTGTTTAGATGATTTAATTCAAAATCTAGTTGAGATATGCAATGACAAAAATGGATATGAATTATATATATATATATTTAGTTATTTGTGATTAATTTGATATTTTTGAAAAAATTTATTAAACTTAAAATTACAATTTTTTAGAAAAGTAGAATTAAAAAAATATAAAATAAATTGATAAATTAAAAAATCTCCATTGGCATTTTTGTATCGATTTTCATTATTTGTGAATTTCTTTTAGTGATAAAACGAAAAGAGATGAATATATAATTGAATGTTGATTCTCCAGTCCATTGCACTTAATTGAAAAAATTAATTCAGTAATTATTAATTAACACCTAGTGGGCAAAACAAAAAAGAAAAAGAAGCATTAATGAAAATTAAAGTATATCCGAAGGTGATCAAGCATAAGCTCCATTCAAAATTAAAAAGAAAGGATAAGTTAAAAATAAATAAATAATAATAAATAAATAAACAAAGAGAGAGAGAGAGAGAGAGAGAGAGAAAGCAAAATCTAGACATTGTTCGCAGAGGGCAACAAATTCGGCTACCAGAACCAACAAATCAAAGCTCCATTCAAAATTAGAAAGCCCCAAACAAATAAAAAATTTGTACCATGTTTTCTTCATCACCGAATCAACATCCTATAACTATAAGGAGTGCAACTTTTTCTCCTTTATCCCTACCAGAGCTTTCGGTTAGATTCAAAAGATTGAAGTTCCTTGCCTTCTGTTAGAGAGGTTTGGGCCACCCTAACCTCAATTGGGGAGGTAATTCAAATACACACTAAGTCTCCTAATTTAAAAAAATTAGATATTGAATTGGTGAAGGAACAACTAATATCAATTATCAATTTTTTTTAGGATAAATACTGATATTCTTAGTATTTCAATCACTACCATCACTAGTGAATTGATTTTTAGCATCAGTTCACATGTTTTGACAAAGTATCAAAGTTTTTTTCTTCCAAGTAATGTTAAGGCTATCATTTACACTTGTAATTGGTTGCACAATTTTGATAATGTTGCTATGATATTGAATTTGAATGTTTAAGCTTCATAGATTTGTTATGGATTTACTTAAATTTATTTTTTAGACTTAATTTTATGTGTAATAGATTTTTTTTATAAACGTGTTTATTAGGCATTTAAATTAAAAAAACAATAATATTAGGGCCGAGGCTTGTAGGGCTATCCTTTCAGCCAGTCTAACCTCAAAATAGGAGCCTTGAAGCATTTTCGAGCCTTTTGGGCTTGGCCCTTTTTGGCGTAGGCCCTTCAAGGGTCAATCATAATTGCTAATCTATGTGCCATCAGTTATGGCGGAGGGACATGAGCCGCAATGGATAGTAAAAAATTTAAAATAACAAGCTCACATTTGTAAGCTGGAGTGAGACAAAGAGAAAGAGATTCATATAGTAAGTGATGGAGGAGGTGTTGAGGCCTATTAGGGTTCCATTTCTAAGGACATTGGGAATGTTTCAAGCTTGGTTTTGCCTAGATAAGCTTCCATTACACCTTCTTCTTCCTTCCTTTATCATTTCTGCATATTTTCTTAAGAGGGAGATGGTGATTTCAAACTATATGACTTTGGGTTCGAAACTATTAGTCTAAATGAGATTTATAAGAGTTATTTAAGCTTTCTACATTTAGTTTAGAATATTTTATAAGGTTGAGCTTAGGTCTTTGGGTTTTGGATCAATCCTGAGCATTTTGATGAAGAATTTGGGTTGTTGGATGCTATATTTATTATTAAGTTAATGGAAGCTAATAAGCTTATTGAAGGTGAGAGTGTACTGGTAGTGGGACATTTTAGTGATTAAAATATAAGTTTCAAAATTTGAAAATAGTATTTATAATGATTAATAGTGATACTTATCATTGTTAATTGTAGATTACTCTTGTAGAACATCGGTTGAGCTTAGTCTTGGCTTAAGAAGCAAGTAGTATATGGGGTAACCTTTAATTTATCAAAAGTTTGAGATAACTAAAGGATTTTATTTTATATTAATGCTTGCTTTATTGATTCTTGACTATTGTAAATTTTATGTGTGTGTGTGTATTCAAAGTTAAATTTGATATTTTTCACGATTTGAAAAATATTACAAGTGTGGCAACTTTTGAGTTTTAAGTGGATGTTTGTTAATGAAATTAACCTATGATTATGGTAAGTTAAATTATGATATGAAATCAATATTCTCATGATTGATGTATTGAGTATGTCGGCATGATCATATATTGGGTAGAAGTTCCCCTTATGAAGGGTTAATGTTATTTCTATTCATGTAAATATTACCAACACCAAGGGTAGCCCTGGTGTTTAGTTTAGATAAAGTATTCCTCAATATCACTCTGAATTAGGTTACTTAGATCATAGCCCTTTACATAATCTTGGATTAGGTGTAGTATAAGGCTTGTGACATTTCAAGAATTTCAAAATGAAGGAAGCTGTGGTTCGAGAGTAAAAGTAGCACTTTGGGCTGGGTAACTTCTCACAATTGGTGAGCTTGGGTTAATCTATTTACACAGATGCAACTATGTTTGATTGTTAGCCTACGAATTTAGTTGGCAATATAAGGAGGAGATAAGGATGATGCTTGATTATGCATTTCATTTATCATGCGATGTGATATTACATTGTGAATCGAATTGATTTACTTGCCTACTTTGCATGCCTTAATTAATGTGACTTGCATGTGTATAATTTTGAGTTTGTTTAATTATCGAGTGGTTGTGCTTACCTCTATTTAACATTTTACAAGCACTAAATTTGAAAAGAATAAGGAAAAGTCACTTAAGGTTTAGGAATCTGTGTTCCAACTGCATGCCTCTTATTTTGGTAGTTATATGTGTAATGTATAATGGAATTTTCAACTAGGACAGTTGTTTTTGAAATACTTGCACCATCACATTTCTTTATGTATGTTTGAATGTATTTTGTGCCCTAAGTTATGTTGTATGAGAATTATGGTTTAAACATGGCAATATATTGATGCAAGTATGTTTGTAGTTATTTCAAATGATTGTAATGATTATTTTGGAGATTTCATTGTTACCTCCCCTAGTGATTTTTGATGAAATTAAGATTGAGGAATAAAAATGAAAACTATGTTGCATTTGTCTATTGTAACGCATTGTACAAATTGTCATAGGTCCTTTAAATATAGTCTATGTAGGTTTTTGGGCTTTTAGCACTTTTTTTGTGGTTTGGACATATTGAAAGTTTGAAAAGTGTGAAAATATGTTAGCTTTGGTTTTGGGTGTTCAATTTTGTGATACGATATAATTTGTGCCATTAGTTCATTCACTAAAAAAGCTTTTTATGAACACCTAAATTATCTCAATCAAACATTAGAATAAAATTTGAGATACACCGAAAGTTTAGCCTCGGAACTAAAGTGTGAAAGCAAATTGCTGTCATTGATTTTGTATAGTGCATCGCGACACATGGCATATAAGAGCTCTAGTTGTGATGCACAGAGGCTTGGTTGTGGCAAATACTCTAGAAATGTTGAGAAATGACATGTTTAACCTTATTTTTCTAATGTTTTCAATCTTATTGATATCCCAAGCTTCCATATGATGTTATACTTTGATTGATGCATGATTTAGCTTGAAAAACTTTATTTACTCATTCAAATCTTGGGATCCTATTGATTAAAAAGGTTTATACTAATATACTAGAGTGTTTTTATTCAGTTTTAAACTATGGTATCATGATAGAATCTAGTCTATCATGGTAGGGACCCTTATACTTATATGAAGTGATTTAGTTAGTTCAATTTTAATAACCATAATAAACTTTTTGTATTGAGTCCTTTTCTTTTTTTATTATAGTTAATTCTTTGTAATTGCAATTAATCCCTATTTACTATGGTAGAATTATTAAGGTGATTATTCCCTAACTATCATGGTAAGTTACGGTGACATGATTAAATATTTGTGGTAATTTAAGCGATATTACATCAATTTTGAACTTAAGGGCCAACAAACAGTAGGAGACAATCCACAACTCATGGCATCTCTGGCTAGTGACCAAGACAAAGGAAGTGATGGTATGGATATCCATCCTATTGGACTCACATCCTTGAGAGAGAGGTAGTTGCTATAGAGTTAGCTACACAATTGTCTTCACGTGGAACAAAGACGATAGAAAAACCAACTATGAAGACCATAAGGTGAATGATGACTTCAGTAAGTCTTTTGCACCTCCAGTCACCCAGCTCGGGGATGATCTTTTTGAATGCGAGGTACTTAAGACAATTGTTTTTAAAGATCACTTTGTCATAGCTCAAATCAATAACCAATAAAAGAGCCCATTTAATATCATGTTAAATTGTGCTCTAAATGATAATCTCCCTTTAATTTGTTGAGTTGGTATGTTTGTAATTGGCTAAGTGTACAGCTGCGTTGGTACTTTTGAAGTACTCTAGAACTTCTCCATCTTGGATTGGTTAAATATTAGTGAACGGTTACATTAACAAATAAAAAAATGCTCATTACTCTTTTTTTTTTTTGGTTGCTCAAAGTATTCTTTTAGTTATTAGTTGAGGCTAATCCCTCGAGAAACGCTATTTAAAGAGATATTCTCTCCCAAAACGCTAATTCCTAAATACATGTTAAATGAAATTTTCCTTTTTTTTTTTTTTTAATGTCCAGGACAAAACGCATGCTAGAATCCCTGGATAACTGGAAGTCCGGTACCGAGAAACAACAGCAAGCGCTGTCGTTTTAGGCTTTGCCCAACTCTAGTTAGCTTAGCAGCCGGAAATGCCGTGTACGGTTGTCTTGGATCGCACTTGTCGCGGCGTAGAGCAGAATGTCGAGCTCTGCGGCAGAGCCAAAGGAAATCACAGAAGATCCCATGAACTCCGACCCGAACCAAACTGACCAAAGCGAAGAATGGGAAACCATGGCTCGAGCTTGGCTTTCTTCTTTCCCTGAGGCTAAAGAAGTCACCATGGTCGAGGTCGAAGCCTGGATCGACTCCAACCATGATTCCTTACCCGAGGGCCTCAAATCTATGCCTCGTTCTGATCTCTGTCATAGGCTTATTTCCATTCAGAATTGCATGAGATTCCCTCCTCAGGTACTGCGCTTGCTTGAGTTTTTTTCCCCCGGGATCTTCCGTAGTCTGCTATCACCGTCCTCATCATTTTTGTAGCCTTTTGTTTACACGTGTAGTTAATGTTAATCCTGTAATTAACATTAAGTTTTAAACTCGGGCTTTCTCTTAGATGCCGGATGGGAAAATATAAGTAGGTTGGGGGTTCTCTAGACTATAAGAATGGGATAACCCTCATTTAAACTTTCTTCTCCCTCCCACTGGCTGATGTTACGGCAGTTCACTTTGTTTGGATTCCCTCATTGTGTGGGATTTCCCCCGGTTCCTCTACCAAACCTTGGAATAATTTGACAGGTTACACCTTTTAGGAGGTTCTCATATGCAATAATATGGTAATCACAAGCCAATTGGTAGAGGCATGTTTACCCTGGTTCCACTTGTAGAAATTGTAGATTCAGAAGACTAGAGATGAGAATTTTGATAAACAATGTTCCGTTGCTTGATAGATGGGCAAATCAGGATTTAAGGTTTCAATGTAGTAGCAGGACTTTTTTCTTGATTCTCATCAACTGAGATTGTGTTGAAGCCTGTTCATTTATGAGGTGAAGGATAAATTATGAAGACGTATAATTTACTTAAGAAATAATTTGTCTTGTCCCACAATTTAGAGTTTTTGTTCCCATTTCTATGTGTAAAATATAGCACGCGCATAACAAGGTCCAAGGATATAGTTATGGTCTGTAAAAACTGGGACCTTCCCCTTCTGTGTGTGTGTGTGTGTGTGTGTGTGTGTTTTGCTGTGGATACAAAAAGCATTATCTAACTGTTTAAAGAATGGTTTATCTTGTAAGACTAGGATATTTCAACAATAATAGATTAGGAAACAAGATGCCTTCCCAGAGCAACTTTCTCATTGTTTTCTGGTGATATATTTTCAAAAGTTCTTCATACCATGTTGTCTTTAAAAACTTTGAATAAATATATAAACAATAATAGGCAAATATTAACACCTGACACTTTCTTGCCTTTCGATGTGGCAGGAGAAGGAAGTAAATCAGCTTGATATTCCACATGCTCGATTTCAGCGCACGGATCAATGGATACCAGTTTATTCATGGCTGGAAACTTTGGATAAGGATGAGGTGGTCAAGTCCAAGGAGATTTCTGATTGGCTAGCTGAAAACCCTAAGGTCCAAGAGCAGTTGTGTTCAAGGCATTCTCGATATCATTTGATGCACTATATTAAAAAATGCCATTTAAAGATATTAAAGAGAAGGGAAAAGAAGAAGGTACCAATTCTCTGCCTATCTTTGCTAGTCCTTATGTTTTTCTCTTGTGGCCTTTGAATTTACAGTTCAATCTGTACCATGAACATGGGGAGAACTTCTATGCTGTGGGTGTCTATAGTCAATCTTAAACATAGTACTCCTGTTATAGTTTTAACTCTATATCTTTCCCATCAGCATTAAAATTATTTCATCTTTGACGGTAATGATTATCTTCAATTATTTGTGGTTGTTGATAACTGGGCATCTGCTTATACATTGAGATTATCTTTTAGACTTTTACTACTTGCTTGAACAGGTTTTAGATCAGCCTGACAAGAATACTTCACTGAAGGTTCAGAAAGATGTGCCAATGAAACACCTGGCCCCACTTCCATGTATGTTTTTATTTGTCTTAACTTCTCAATGCTTATCTGTCTTCAAGAATTTAGAAAAGAATGCCCGTTTCAGTTTTCATGCTACTGAACCTTATGCCTCCTATCTCTGTAGTGATTACTAAGCAGAAAATGGCATATTTCTTTGAAGTAACTTATCTGGCGGGCAACAATGCTGACACTTTGTCTTTAAGGGAAGGGAAGAGAATAGAAGCGAGAGGATTAAATTATTGAAAAGCTCTGAAACACAATAATATGCAGACAACCATAAACGTTGTGTGTGTGTAATCAATTTGGTTCTTATTTCATAATTGCAGTTTGGGCAGCTGCCTTGCTTGTTTGTGGTAATCATATCAGTCCATCTAGCCTACTTAGCTTTCTCTTTCTCCTTGTGTGTGTGTGTGTGTGTGTGTTAGCGTGTTCTGGGATGCAGTTCTATGGAGTTATTACTTTTGCCTGGATTGGGAATATTGAGTGAAGTATATTTTGAGGAGTGGGAAATTTGGGTAAAATATATTTCCTTTCTTCTGGCAATCCCATTTTCGTTTTTAGTTGCTTTGCAGGCATAAGCCATGCGTCTGAGTTTTGAATTTCATATCTCTAATTCCATTGCTGCGCTTGCCTTATCTTCAAAATGAGCCTCTTATGGGAAATAGTTTTATTTAATTCTGTCAATTATGATTAATTTTTGAGGAAAAAGTTCAGGGAAATCCTGTAGATTCCTCTACCTTTTCAAGCTTTCTTACCGTTAGATCTACACTCTAATGTGTTACTAATCCTCTGCTGGTTTTGCAGGTAGTTCTTTAAACAATATTCCCAAAGATAGCGATTTGTACATTACCAAAAGAAACGAAGCGTATCGCAAATATGAGATGTAAGTCAGCTTGCAGATCTTTTCTCCTCGATTAGCATCTTAGAGGAAATTTCTTAGTTAAATCCAATCTAAAAATAAAATAGAAATAACAATAGGTCAAGCTTATCATAAAGAAACTTAGTGAGACTCACTTCTTCATTCTTGTGTATGGAAGCTGACGCTAAGTTGTTAAGCTTATCTTAACGGGTTTTCAGTTTAGTGGAGTTGGAGAAGCTGCTTTCCCCAACAATCTCTAAGCGCTGAGACAAAACGAAGCAGCCAGAGAAACTTCAAACCATCAGACTTCGATGGCGAATCCTCCAGCCGGTTCGTTCTTTCTGCATAATATTGACTGAAACATTGTTGCCTCAGATCAGAGTGCTTACTGATCACATCAGCTGCCACATTATTGTTCATTATCATCATGAGCGGTGCTTTTTAAGCTTTTGTTATGTCATCAATCATAGCATAGCAATTTAGATATGGAAAGAGCTCGGGTGTAATGTGTAGATCTTGAGTATTGAATCTTTTTTTTTTTTTTTTAAAGCAAAGTCGCAAGTACGTAGTTTTTAATATTTTTTTTTAATCAAGGCAAGGGTTTTCAAAGTTAAATACATTGAACGGAAATGAACCGAACAAAATTGATGTCTAACAAGGTTTGATTTGGTTTTTAATTTAACCAAACCGATTCAGGTTGGATCGTTTCAAGTTTTGAAGTCACGAACCTTACCAAAGCAAACTCAATCTATTTTAATAATTCTAGCATGAGACCAACCCAATTTGTTTTTAACTTGCAAACATATTATAAAAAATAAAATATAGAAATATGATATTAAATTTTCAAAATTATTTATATATAGTTTAAGAAAACTGGCTCCAACAGTATCCACACGACAATATCAAATGATCAATTTAATTAATTTTCTTGATTCATGTAAACCAGTTTTTTTGGTTGCATAACGCGCTCAACCGTTTTGTTTTTTTTTTTTTATTTTGTTTTTTGGTGGGGGCCAGAAAAATTTCATTCAGTCAAAATGCAAAGTAGATAAATCTCCAACTACACCAGAAAACAGTAAAAGGTTCAACGGAAATAAAACAAGCGAGGATAAGTTCGACGGAAATAAGAACAATCAAAAGAAAAGGACAACCATTAAAAGACGACAGCATTAACCAATGCCTTCACGGTCTTCCTCCAACACAATGTAGCCGAGAACTGAATCAGATGCACCAGAGTCGTTACGAAGAATCAAAGCACTCCTTTAAAGCCATCCCTGCAACCGGGCGTCAGCAGAGTTTGCTTCGCGAAGAACAAGAGCGAAGGAAATACCCTCACAAGACTCTAATTTATCCCAAATATCAAGAACCAGAGTATGAGATTGCGAACCACAGCAATAAATTCCGATTAGTACAAACCTTAAAAAGTTCATAGCAATCAACTTCAATAACTATATTAGGGGTGTTCAATCTGGACGCGTCCCGATTGGCCCGGTATCGTCCCGATCATATCGAAACGGGTCTTGTCCCGGCCCGAAAATAATCGGGACGGGACTTTACGGGACGGGACAGGAAAGGGGTTCGGGACGGGACGGGACACGGGATTACCATCAGGACGTCCCGTCCCGTCCCGAATATTATATATATTATTTTTTATTTTAAATATATTAATTATATTAATATAATTTATACTTATATTAATTATATCAATTATAATTTTAATACTTACAATTCTTATTTAAAACTAAAGTATTTTTATATTGATAATTTTAATGGTATGGAGTAAACATGGCGATATCTTTTTTATAATATATTAATTATATTAATATAATTTATTCTTATATCTATCTATTTAATAACTTTTATTTATAACATACTTCTTGCTTATTTTTAGAAGAGTCATTAGCTTAGTATATCTTCACTAAAGTAGAAGAACAATTATTTGATGTTGTATTTGACTTGCCTGTTGTTGCTAATTTTATAGCATAAAGATCACTTGTATTTTTTATTATAATATGTAGTTGTGATTAAAATAATTCAATAATTGATTTTAAATTATTGTTATTTATGTACTTGTGTTATTTTAATTTTAAACTTAATAAATTATATAATTTAAAATTTTAATGAACATTATTATCCAGATCTTTTTTCGATATTATTTCATTTATCGGGACGGCGGGACGTCCCGATTTTGTCCTAGTCCCGTCCCGACTCTTAACGGGACGGGACGACTTTCGGGACGGGACGGGACACGGGACCAAAATTCAGTCCCGATCTTTTTTTCGGGACGGGACACGGGACGGGAGTGTTCCGGTCTCGTCCCGTCCCGTGAACACCCCTAAACTATACGTTGCTTAGGCCATTCAGTAATCATATCCTTTGCTTTGTTAACTGCTATCATCTCAGCCATAAAACCAGAATTTGCCTATATACTCTCCCCCCATCCAGCTAAAAAGGAGCCGGCAGAGTTCCGTGCAACAATACCATCACAATTCAGCTTGATACTATCTTGAGGTGGCTTATCCCAAAGTCTGACCACAGCACACCAGCTAGAGGCTTCCTTCTCTGTTAAAAGCCCCACGAGCGCTCCAAAATTCGTTCAGACCAGTTCCGGAGATAGTAATCAATTTGCCAGGATCAGGTGGGTCATTATCAAAAACCATCTTGCAGCGAAACTTCCAAATATACTAGCAGAAGAAGGCCACATGAGCCTGCCCATAATTATCTAGTGGAGAGATACCAGTTAAAGCTTGATAAAACCAACTACAGATACTATCCGTCCCCAATGAATCAACATGTTTAACCCGTTCACAAAAAATAAAAAAAGATGCTCTGGGCTTTCAGGTTCTTTACCACATAATTCCTTTTAAAGAGAGCCTCATTTGTTGGCAAGGCAGAGTTAAGCAACCTCCAAACAAATTTTTTTACCTTCCGGGGAAACATCTAGATTCCATACCTTCTTCCATAACCTCGAGCTATCACCCCCTGTGGGCCAATGCAGTCTAGGAATCTCCCCTGCAGATCTGTGGAAGTTGAGTCTGTGACCATCTCTGACCACATATTCACCCTTCTTTGATCCTGCCCAAACAAGTCTGTCAGGACGCCGTGTAGCAGAAAATGGCATCTTCCTAATCAAATTAAGCATCACTTCATCAGTATGATCACTAACTAAAGTCAAATCCCATGTACCATTGGAAATAAGTGAAGCAGCAGTTAGGGCTGCATCAATTTCTGCATCGGGTTTCTTAACAAGCTTACTACGGTCAAGTGGTTCTAGTCCTTTTTTAGCGTCAAGGAACAAGCAGTTAGGGAAATAAGTACTACTTTTTAACACCCGAACCCACATGCTATCAGGTTGTTGAAGGACTCTGCAAGCCGTTTTGGCTAGCAGAGAAATATTAAATCCCAGGCCACCCTCATCATTGGCCAAATTCAAATGCCACTTCTGTCATTATTACTCCCGTAAAATTTCGAGACCAATCTGTCAGGTTTCACATAGGTGTACTTTGGAAATCTAAAACACGACATGAGGAATATAGGGATTGCATTAATAACTGCCTTTTATCATGAGAAGGATAGACACTTACTTCTTCCAACCCTGCACCTTCTTACCCACCTGCAAACGTGTTTTGTGAATAACACAAATACAAGAAGTTGTTGTTGTTGTTGTTATTTTTATTTCGGTTGTGTCTGAAAATTGGGGGAAACTTTATTTGTTTAGTTGAAAAGAAAAGTTTTTATCAATAAAATCTGCTTAATTAGTCACGCAAGCATTGAACGAAGACCATTCCTTCGTGGGAATGCAAATAATATATTTAGCCACAATCGCTGCTTCTTTTGCCAAAATCTAATAAAATAAGATTGATTGTACGGGTGCTGTTTTGTTTTATTAAAATTATAGTTTTTCTTAAAATTTTAGCAGTATGTTTTAATTTAATTTTAACTTTCTAAAACAAAGTATGGCAGCGGAAAAAAAATTAGAACAAAATAAAATTGATATATATAAGTTAGTAATTTACGATGATATAATATAAAAGGCTTTATTTTTTAAATAAACATAAATAAACTAAAGGAAGAAGTTTTGATTTTATTAATAAATTCAAGTGAAACATATCTATATCAAAACTACAGGAAAGTGCTACATAACCTTGGGCTTCCTATCATGTGTTCTAGTTTTAATGGAAGGGACTGTGACTTTTTAAACATGAGATCTTGAATTGATAGTTAGATAATCATACAAAGAAAAAAAGAAAAGTCTATCCTTTCCATAAAATAGTTTGGAAATGGATAAAAAAATTTTGTTCAGTCATATAATTTTGTGCGTATATGAATGCATGATTTCATTTTGGTCAAAAAAATTGTCTATGCTTTTTGAAGACTCATACATGAGCTCAGCTGAAAACTGGGAATGCATTATTCAAACAAAAGAGCCGGCAGATCCACTAATTTAGAAATCACTTATAAAATATTCAGAAACACTAAACAATTAAATGTCCATTATATATATATATATATATATATATTCACAGACCATATTACAAATAGCTCCAACTTAAAGTCAAATGCTAAGACTTGCCTCCATTGCCGAACTTTCATCTCTAATAATGAGTTGCTTCATCATGTGCTTGAAAATTCCATTCATAGTCCTATTGTCAGCTTATTTCTCATCAGCTTATTCCGGTAATGGAGTGCAGCCTCTGTCGAAGATTGCTATTCACAGAACCACTTATGAGCTTCTCCATAATGCCTCCATTCAAGCCCATCCTCTTCTTCTAGGCATCGAGGTCAGATCATAAATATGCTTAACATAGTACAAATAGTCTCTTACTGTGATCTGGACTTGATGATAATGATGATGCAAGTTTCTGCATGCAATAACTTCATTCACCTCACGCGCAGGGGAAGGATTCTGAGTGGGTTACTGTGGAACTTCACAGTCCTAATCCCAGTGAAGATGACTGGGTTGCTGTTTTTTCTCCTGCAAATTTCAAGTAATTTTATTAATTTGTCTTTTGACTCTTTTCATTACTTGGAGTTATGTCAGAATTTTGTTGGAACTTAGTGGGTTTTGATTCTCTGTGCAATGGGTAGCTCATCATTTTGTCTAGAGGTTGACAAGTCAGAAAACTCAAGACAAGTGGCCCCCTTTATATGCTCTGCTCCTATAAAGGTATGTCTACGTCGTCGTTTTGATTTGAATACAAACCAGTTCAAAACCTTGAAAACTCAACCTCTCTATTGATTCTCAATTTTGCAGTATAGGTTTGCCAACGAATCCAACGAGGACTACACCAAGACAGGCCAAGCATCTCTCAAGTTTCTGCTGATCAATCAGCGATCAGATTTCTCATTGGCATTATTCTCAGGGGGATTGTCCAATGTGGGTGTCTCTGTTTTGTCGCATTCCTTCATTGACTTAACAGAACGTTTTAATGTTTTGAAGATATGAATGAGAAGTGTGTGATAAATGCAGCCAAAATTGGTGGCAATTTCGAATACAATCAGCTTTGTGAATCCCAAGTCTCCACTCTATCCACGCCTTTCTCAGGGTAAAGCTTGGAACGAAGTAAGTTTAAACTATTCTTGAGAACACATTGTTACTTTGAATTTCCAGAATTCTGCTAGTTTTGAAGGAGCTACATGACTTGCATGCGTAGATTAGTTCCTCATTCTGTGTTTCTGAAAATAAACATGTCTTCATCTGATTGGTGCATTGTATTGTTATATGTAATTGTAGATGACAGTGACCTGGACAAGCGGCTATAACATTGACGAAGCTGTGCCTTTTGTGGAGTGGGGTCTTAAGGGGGAATCACAAACACAATCACCAGCTTCAACACTCACTTTTAATAGAGGCAGTATGTGTGGTATGTGCAGTTTACCATGTTTAATTATGCATAATACTCAAATATAACTTTCCACATAGATTTGGATTTTTTAGACTGACAAATGGGTCAAAATTTTCTCAATATTGGGAAAATCCTCATTCTTTCCGAGGAGAATGACCATTAAGGAATTAATGACTGTTAAGTCCTAATAATTTTTTTTTTAAAATAAGTTGCAAATATCAATTAAAATGATTGCAAATTAAGTTTTAATTACAAAGAAGATATTTAAATTCTAAATGTAATTTTAGTTTACAATTGATGCTTTTGTTTGCAACTATTTGAATAAGTATTTATAACTCATTTTTAAAAAAATTTGTTGGAAACCGAATTATCATTAATTTTATCTTATAAAATTTTGCGGTTATTCTCCCAGCTTTCTATAGATCATGAGGCGCTCACATACAGACCAAGATTTTATGCTGTCCTTTATTGGCTCAAATATCAAAGACCGTTTTCACAAAGCACTAGTGCTTTATTAGCATAAGGGTTAAGGAGAGGACTGAAAAGGAAGATAAGATGAATAATCCAAATCCAAATACCTCCGCATGGCAAACATATTTTGGCTGTGGAATCCCGTTTTTCTTTTTTCGTTTCTCATAGGCTGCCAAACAAGACCTAAAACATGGTGTTTTTTATGACCAAAATTCTTATACTCCCTTGAAAGTTTCTCCAATTCAACATCGTTGTAAATAGCCAATTATTCTTGTACATGCAGGTCCACCAGCACGAACCGTTGGGTGGCGTGATCCTGGTTTTTTCCATACCAGTTTCTTGAAAGATTTATGGCCAAACTCACTGTATGCACATCAACCATTTGATTTTATGCCTAAAACAAAAGGGCATAAAAAAAAAGACCAACTTTTGAAAACTTCGATGATTCCTGTCATTTCAGGCACACAAGTTAGGTCATAGATTATTCAATGGTTCATATGTCTGGAGTAAATCATACCAATTCAAAGCACCGCCATCTCCAGGACAGGACTCATTGCAACGTGTCATCATATTTGGTGACATGGGAAAGGTAACAATTGCAATTGCTTATCTGTTTCAAGTGAAATTCTTCTCCTTTTTATTGATGAAAACTACATATTTAGTGAAATTCATATCCTGGGATGCTTTTTGCAAATGGTATTAATTAGCAGTGTTCTTTATATCCCCTCAACAAAAATGTTTCAGGCTGAGCGTGATGGGTCCAATGAGTATAATAATTATCAGCCAGGTTCTCTGAACACCACAGATCAACTCATCAAAGACTTAGACAACATTGATATAGTTTTCCACATCGGAGACATCACTTATGCGAATGGATACATCTCACAGTGGGACCAATTTACTTCACAAGTGGAACCCATAGCATCAAGAGTGCCTTATATGATTGCAAGGTGTGTTTAGTTATTCTGTGCATGCAGTATTGTGTTTTTGGATTGCTTCGTACTTACTTAAAGTACTTCGTACAGTGGCAATCATGAACGTGATGGTCCTGGGACTGGTTCCTTTTATGACACAAATGATTCAGGTGGAGAATGTGGTGTACTAGCTGAGACCATGTTTTATGTTCCAGCTGAAAACCGAGCTAAATTCTGGTAATTATTAGACGTGATTCTGGAAATATCAGTTCTTCAAAGAAAAAACAAGAATGGTTCATTTATTTTCATTTCTATTCTTATTTGCATCAGCAGAGTTTTCTGTTCCATTAAAGAGTGACAGTGAAGTGTGTATTAGCTGAATACTATGAATTGTGTTTTACTTTTATAGGTATGGAACAGATTTTGGAATGTTCCACTTCTGTATAGCAGACAGTGAACATGATTGGAGGGAGGGAAGCGCTCAATACAAGTTCATCGAGAATTGCTTTGCATCAGCAGACAGACAGAAACAGCCATGGTTGATTTTTGCTGCTCATCGTGTTCTTGGTTATTCCTCTGCTTACTTGGACCAAGGAATTTCTGGAGAACCTATGGGAAGAGACAGCTTACAAAAGCTCTGGCAGAAATACAAAGTAGACATTGCATTTTATGGTCATATTCACAACTATGAAAGAACTTGCCCCATCTATCAGGTAACCCTAGACAAGAGAATTTATCACCTCCCATATTTTGCATGAGTTCACAGTATAAGTTGCAAATTAATGTATTATATTTGAGTTCTTTAGCGCGTTTTTCTCTTCCTATTCATTTAATTCAGTTGAAGAGGAATTGACATGCAAATGATAAATTAAGATGAAATGAGTTTCTTTAGGTTTGTCTCTCTAACTGTACTGGTTATGTTGGACAGGAAGGATCATATTTCCTTGATATGAGTTATACAATGAGAGGCAATACTCTGTCTTTCAGAAACAAAAGGAATATAAGCATGTATGTATGTGAATGCAAGAAATCAATGAAGACACAGTAAAATGAGTGTTAGAGGTCGGCAGATTCATTGATATATACACTACTTCGTTGAGTTTTTATTGACATTTTTCACTAATCAACCATGCTCCTAGAAATGTTCTTAAATCCCTCTAATAAAGGATCCAGCTATATCAGCTACTAGTGTTTGTCTGTTTGATAAGTGGCATGAAAATGCTGGAAAAAACACGGAATAAAAAACTCAAATTAGCATACGTGAAAGGGGTCTCATCTTCCAAACAAGTGATTAGGTATTCGATTTTCAATAAACCTAGTTGAAAGGAGTCTGTCTCTTCTTTTCAGTAAGCCTAATGGAAGATACTCCTTTTTCCATAACAAGAAAGGAAGAATTCCAATTAGCTATGATCAGAACATTCAAGTTACTTGTGTGAGATCGTTAATTTTTGGTTTGTTAATGCATGCAATGCAGAGTCAGTGTGTGAATTCAGAGAAGCATCACTATTCAGGGACAGTGAATGGAACAATCCACGTGGTAGTTGGTGGAGGAGGAAGCCACTTGTCAGAGTTTGGACCGGTTGAGACTAGCTGGAGCATTTTCAAAGATTCAGACTTTGGTTTTGTGAAATTGACAGCATTTAATCAGTCATCTCTTCTCTTTGAGTACAAGAAGAGCAGTAATGGGAAGGTCTATGATTCATTCACAATCTCAAGGGACTACAAAGATGTCTTGGCCTGTGTTCACGATGGTTGTGAACCAATTACTCTGGCCACTTGAAATTCTACTCAAAATATTATCACACATGAAATTGCAATCAATAAAGTGATGTTTTCGTCATCCTTGTTTTGATTAATAACTACATGTGCATGCATGTTTGTTGGTTAGTACTACAAAGAAAGTGACTATGGAGGTTTACCTTTCAATGTTTCAAAAGCTTGAGTGGCTTTGAATTGTCTGACTACTTTCAAGACTTGGCTTAGGATTTGTATAAATTTTATATGATGTAAATGAGTCACTACCTTTTTGGAGTCACGTGCAAGTTAATCTGAAAAATTTTGTTATTATCTGATCTGGTTTTTAATTTTAAAATAAATCATGATTTAATTTTAAATTTTAAGACAATTGAATGCCCTTCATTTTCAATAACTACGTATTTAAATTTCAAATTCTTGAAAAATAATTGTCCATTAACGAATTTATATCATGTTTATTGCCATCAATAAAATTAAATCATGTTTAATGCTGATTAATGAAATTATTCTCCTATTATAAAGGAGAGGCTATCAGGTTAGGAAATTATGTAATTTTGAAATTTGTCTCTTTCCATAATTCTATTTGTTTGCTGCTTTGAAATTTGTGTGATTAAGGAGGTTTTGAAAGTTGCTCTCCACAAGTCTCTATAGTGCTTGGGATAACTCAGCAGTGGTTTGTCGTATACCTGGAATAAATATAGTTGACGCAAATAATACTTTAAGGACAATGTAATACACACACATTTCTGAGCATAGTTGTCGAATAATATTTCTTCAAACAAAAAAAAAATCAATTTGATTTTATTTATGAATCAAATAAGGAAAAAACCCACATGTAAGTTAACTATACCTTCTAAAAGTCTCTCTCGGTTAGTGTTTTTTCTTATTTTATTTATAAATCACTTCTAGTATTTTTTATTAAAATAAAAAAAATTTAAACTTTATTAACTCTATTTTAAAATTTAATAAGTTTTCATCTCTACTCCTAATAAAGACAAAAAGAATTATTTTAATAATTTTTAATAACATTTAATAAGGGTAGAAAAGTAAAGATAAGCATAGAAAATAGTGAAATGCCTAAATAGGATCAAAATAACCTTTTTATGTAATATAATTAGGACTAAATGAGTATAATGTGAGGTTCATCCATACATGAACATTTAAGTGTAAGGTTCATGGTTCAAAAGGAATATGCTCAGAAAGTAATTAACAAATACGAGATTTCAAGCCCATGTGAATAATTTTTTTTTTTTGGGAGAGCTACTTTCAATTAGATTTGATAATACTCAAATCTGACCTAATAAAATAACTATGTAAAAAAAAAAAATACTCAATGATAAAATATAATGTCATTGTGCAATCCATGCAGCCAACTTCATCTAGTAGGACGAGACTTATTGATGTTGTAGTACTCAATTAACAATTAATCTGAATTGAACTATGATATTGGATCTGTATCAAAAGTTAAAAAAAAAAAACTAGTTATTTTATTAAGTTCATGGTTCAGGTAGCAGAATTAGGTAGAACACAGAAGCAGATACATGAAAGATGGAATTAGAGTTACTTCAGGCAGTCAAAGGGAGTTGTGCATTTGGGTTCAGAATCAGAATTGTGAGTGTGGTTATCATAACAAATACATTTTCCATTTTCACACACAGCTCCACTTCGGCATTTGGTCTCCCAACTGCAATCACGGTCACTGCTGCATTCTTGCCCTATTGCTATGCCTGCACAATCATTTTACAAAAAATAACACTACATAATTAATTTGTGTCATCTACTGCTAAATTGCTAGTCTCTTTTAGTCACATAAATATTGTTAATACAAGCTTAATCACATTATATAAAGGTAATTAAAATAGATTGATTTTAATTGAAAGGTAGTTTTAAAAATTAATGATTTTTTCTACCATCTTAATGATACAGATTATTTTTAACTACATTTTTTAATATCGTGAAATAGTTAGAAAGTATCTTGTATTTTGGACTAGAGCCAATGCCTACACCATCATGAATATCAACCAATACAAATATAAAATGTCTAACAAGAAATATAAACAAGTGACAAAATGCTCAAGCTCTATACAATTATGCTTTTAATATCACCTTAAGAAACTGATATTTACCGTAAAATGTAGATGACACAAGAAGAACAAGAAAGAGAGCTGATGTCAAAGAAATTTTTTCCATAATTTCTTTCTTTTGGGAATATATTAAAATATATGCCAAGAGAAATACTAGTGCTTCTTGCAATATTAGTTCAGCTCCTCTTAAATATTACTATATGGTAATATTTTGTTATTTAAAATATCAATAATAGCATTAATTAACGTAGAAGATTTCAATAATGGAAAAACTAACGAGAAATAATGCCTTAAATGATTTGCACATGGTTCAAGGTTCATTCAATGTCTTTGAGAATTTAATTATATAATTATATAATTTAAGATAAATGAATAAATTAACTCCTAAATAATATATTCAGAAGGGGACCCTCAAATCATTTTTGATATAATGTTTCACTTTAACTTTTGAAGACGATGCAATTTAGATTTTATCATTAATAAAAGTTAACTTTAACCGGTAATTAATTAAAAAATAATAGAAAATAACTTCAAAAATAATAGAAAACAACCAATAAAAAATTCCTTGGTCTTCTTTTGTAATTTTTTGAATCATTTATTGTAATTTTGTTTTGTTATTTTTGTCATTTTTAAGTTTCTTTCTCATCATTTTTTTATTCAACTAACGTTAAGGCTACCTTTTGTTACTAATAGGTGATAAGGCTAATCGTTTACCTTTCAAAATTAATAATAAATTGAACCCTAAATGTAGCTAGGGATTAGCCTAGGTCATCTCCCAATGGGCTAAACCAAGTTATTTAGAGGTTATTTCAAGTGATACAACTTAACCAAGTAAGTGATTCAATGGATTACCTAAGTGACAAAGCTAATGAAGCTAGAACTAGAATTTAAAGCTGGAAAGTGATTGTGATTCCCCTATGAATTAGAGTGAAATCCTAGAGTTTAGATGTGTGGAAGAATCTTTATTCCAAGTTATATATGGCATTTCCCTATACCTTGCCCTCTTGGCCAAAATGGATCTTCTAAGACAACTATCCTAGAATGATCAACTAAGCTAGTTCAATTTCCTTAGTCATTAACTAATGCCCTCAGTTCATTTTCCTAGTTGAGTTTTAGAGGGATCAAGTGATTAGTTAATTCCTCTCTTTGAGCTGTGGCTATGTGAATCTATATTAGGTCACAAGACTATGTAAAGCCTTCTTTAGCTAAGTCTAAGGCTAACCCACAAGATTATGAAGTCAAATCAAGACAATATCAATGATCAAAACATAAGACTATGCATTCATAACATTGATATGAAAATGTATGCCATGTGTTCATCAAGAGAAAATCAACTAAGCCAAGCATTCTCATTATAACATATATGAATTCCAACTAGAATTACAAGCCTTCAATGTATCAATCTTAGATTAAGGATCAAAACATTAAGTAAAATGAGAAAGTTAGGGATTAGAATAGTTTTAGCCAAATGTAGCCATTGGATTCATCCTTCCTCTAAGATCTCATGTAGAATCTAGCCTTCAATCTCCATCTTCAATGTTTCTATGGTTGAACTCACTAGGCCAAGCCACTTCTTCATCTTTCAAGGAGGATTGAAGCCCTGAATCTCGGTGAAACTATGAGGATTTAGACAAAATGGATGAGAGGAGTAGAATGAAAATGGTCTTGTATGATTTGGTTAAGGATTGAGCGAGTTATGATGAAAAGTTTGGGTGAGAAAATGGAAGAATAAGAGAGAAAGTGAGAAAAAATATTTAAATGTGAGAAAATCAATGGGTGGCTAAATGGGAAAGTGTGTTGTAGGGAATGAACTAATGAGAAACTAAAGAAAAATGTGAGAAAACTTGCAGGTGGTTGTGGACTTCTAATTTCCTCCTCCTTGGCCAAAACTAACTTGGAATTTTGGGGGAAAATGATGATAATTCCAATGCTCTTCTTTGATTCAATGTGATGTACCATTCCATGCTTAGCTTGCACCTCTTTTTCTCTTCATTTTCATGCCATTATCCTCTTGAATTGCCTTTTTGCATAGCTCAATTTTCTTCTTTTAGTTCTACCTATATCACAATGCAATCAAATAATCAATTCTTCCAAAGTGTGTCATTTATTTAATTGGATTAAAGTGTGAAATATTTAATTAGAATTAGATGAGATAATTACAAATGAAATATGAATAAGAGGCCACACAAGATACAAGTGTAACAAGTGCACACATTTGAACACAAGTTTAAGGCAAAAAAAAAAAAATCCTTTAGAGAGACAACTTTAAAGTTTGTCTTTTATTAATAACTCTCAATTTAGGATGAATTAAGAAAAACTAATTTGATCAATTATCTTATCTCATTAAAAGACATAATTCTAATGCTTAACATGAAAATTTAGAAATAATTCATCTTATAACTAAAATGCCTCTAATGCATAGGCAAATATGCACAGTGAATGTTTTATGAGTGTATTTAGGTGTGTAAAATGACTCAAATAAGCTAAAAAATGTGTATAAATAATGAATATTATCAGGGTTAAATTGTATTATTTTTAAAAATTGAAGGGAGATATTGCATCAAAATTAAGTTTAGGAGTAGGGTTAATTTACTCTTTTACTCTAAATTATTTGATTAAACTCTCAAAAACATTGAATGAACCTTGAACCATGTGCAAATCATTTAAGGCATTATTTCTTATTAGTTTTTCAATTATTGAAATCTTCTAAAATGATTCTTTGACCCCTGATATAAGGTACTTTCTTTATCTCAAATTATAAGACACTTTTAAAAGATATTTAACATTTCACAATATAAGACACTATGAAAAGATTAATATTTTATTAAATAGTTTTATTTTAATATTACCCTTTCTTTCTCTATTTAATTTTTGTCCTTTTTTCAATATACTAAATGAAGGGAATTTTTAAAAATTTATATTTTTATTTTGAAAAAAAGGTTGTTAAATGTATTTAATGAGATTTATTGATATGTGAGATTTTGTTTAAATGTATTTTATAATTTAAAATAAGAGAGAGCAATTGGCGGCATATTATATTAAAGGTTGAGGTACAAAAATGCCTTTGACACTTTCACCCAGACACATCTTATATCGTAAAGTATTTTCTAGTGCAATTTCACCCCGATGTCTTTTAAAATGTTACAATGTTGCCTCAAGCTAATAGGACCAAATATTTGACCGTTAGTTGACTTAT